TTCTTTCGAGCTGGCGATAGCAGATATTGTACAGAGAACCCAGGCTATATATGCACCAGGACCATAAAGTCCCGACACGCTTTCTAGTTCTCTACTGTGAGGTATTGTCCGAGAATTCTTGGGGAGGAAGTATAGGAGAAATATGGGATTTGCGATGAAGCATAGGGCGACCATGCAAATAAATGCAGTTATCGCTTTTAATGTAGAAGGGAGGGACTGGATATTTCTTAATGTAGAACCTATTTGGTCCATCATCCTATCGATGAATGACATTTGGGACATTGCGGTCGTGGAGAAAGATGGTATAATTGCTGGCAGGCACCGTCGAGCAAATGTTGACAGGCCAGCGACTCGCCAAAATGCCAGCAATTAATTCACTTTGGCACCCGCCTCCGCCATGATTCCGGTCTCCCTCAAAAGATTTATCAATTATATAGCAAAGCACACCGTCGAGCGGGTTTCTGGAGAAGCTTGTCATTGGCTTGGTGTCATCTGTTTTTCGATCGTCTTCTCCGTTGGCGTGATGACTATACCAAACCCTATGATGATAGCTATGTTCTGGTACCCCACTTCACCTTCAATTCCCCAAAGCAAAGAAATAGAATCAGTTTCTGGTATCTATGGTCCTGGCGCATATATTGCCTGGATCTCTTGCACGGTCTCCGCTATCGCAACCTCAGCGACTGGAAGCCCTTCCTCATCAAAGCTTTCGTTGGACCAGATAGCCTCTTTGATCTACTCTGAGGCATCTATGTACTGGCATTATGGTCGTGTCCTATGGCAGTACTCGCTAAAAGGTCAAGACTACATAGAAGATCCCTCCGTTCAAGCGGCGTTGTTTATCTTCAATATCTCTGTATTGTTCCATGGGCTCGGTCTAATATCCAGCACCAAGGAGAAGATAGATCCGTGGCTTTTCATGGTAGTATGGGATTCATGGCGTTGGTTTCTTTCACCTACGTCCTTTGTGAGCGAACTCTCGGTCTGGGTCAATACAATCATCATGCCCACAACTTTGTTC